TCCTTTTCTTCCAGGTGTCTAAGAACAAGAAATCGTGCCTTAAAAGATTGTGTTTCACTGTCAGAGCTTCTTATTTCCTGTTCCCATCTCGTCTGTTACGTGCTATATTATTATTTTCTGGTATTCTTTTGTTTATCACCGAGGCATTATGTTTGACAGCGTCATCGTGACATGTTAGGACATGTTTCAGCACACACAGCAGCACTGAGGGTGAGCCGGTGTGTGTTGCAGGAGAAAATTAGTATAGAAACGAGCTTCTGTTAAACCGAGATCTATGTTTAAACACACACACACACGAGTTTCAGCGACGGTCAGCAGGAAATGCTGACTGTCGAAATCAAAGACAGAAATCCCCCAGGCAACCCATTTGAGAACATTTAACGAAGACGGAAGTCAGAGAGTCTTTTTAGTCATTTCCTTTTTACTCGTTTGGTTTTATCTCTTTAAGTTTCCATGGTGCGACAGACACACACACACACACACGCACGCACACACACACACACACACACACACACACACACACACACACACACACACACACACACACACACACACACACAGACAGACACACACACACACACAGACACACACACACACACACACACACACACAGACAGACAGACAGACAGACAGACAGACACACACACACAGACACACACACACAGACAGACACACACAGACACACACACACACACACACACACTCACACACACACACACACACACACACACACACACACACACACACACACAGACAGACAGACAGACAGACAGACAGACAGACAGACAGACAGACAGACAGACAGACAGACACAGACACACACACACACACACACATACACACACACACACACACACACACACACACACACACAGACACACACACAGACACACACACACACACACACACACACAGACACACACACACACAGACACACACACACACAGACACACACACACACACACACACACACACACACACACACACACACACACAGACACACACAGACACACACAGACACACACACACACACACACACACACACACACACACACACACACACACACACACACACACACACACACCTTGAATAAACCCATTCAGCCTCTTCCTTCTCACATGTTACTATGAGATTACCGTACCGACTGTCAAGGCCTCAAGAAATCAACTAATGACGATCCAAGTATTTCATATCCTGTTATTTTAAACCATCGTTTCACTTATTTCAGCTTCAAGGGACACAATACATATTATATTTCTTACAGCAGTTATACACATCATTGTCTTTTTGTAGAATACCCAGAGGTGGGAAGTAACTGAGCACATTTGCTCAAGTACTGAGGTACTTTACTTGAGTATTTCCATGTTATGTTACTCTGTACTTTTCCTCCACTACATGTATTTAGTACCTTCAGTTACTTCACAGATGTGGATGAATGATGTGAAATCTAATCAAGTGTTGAATCAGACTTTAGTTCCACCTGGAGTAAATCCACCAGCTACCCTGCAGTATACAAAGTACTTCAAACTAGCTGCACCTTCACCAGCTTTGAGAACACTTTCATGATCAATCATTATAAAACATATCATATATATTATTCTGAAATGGACCAATCTGCACAACGACTACTTTTACTGTCTTTAACTATATTTTGATGAGAATACTTTTCTACTTTTACTTGAGGAACATTTTGAATGCAGGACTTTTACTGTAACAGAGTATTCCTACACTCTGGTACTTACTCAAGTACAAGATCTGAGTACTTCTATTTTTACTCAAGTACAAGATCTGAGTACTTTTACTTTTACTCAAGAACAAGACCTGAGTACTTCTACTTTTACTCAAGTACAAGATCTGAGTACTTTTACTTTAACTCAAGTACAAGACCTGAGTACTTCTACTTTTACTCAAGTACAAGATCTGAATACTTCTACTTTTACTCAAGAACAAGATCTGAGTACTTTTACTTTTACTCAAGAACAAGATCTGAGTACTTTTACTTTTACTCAAGAACAAGATCTGAGTACTTCTACTTTTACTCAAGTACAAGACCTGAGTACTTCTCCCACCTCTGAGAATACCTTCGTTCAACAAGTAACATGGAACTTCTACTCTTAAACTCTATACTTGCATTACTTCTCTACTTCTTCAGCTATGTTTCAGAAATAATTATTATCATGTTATATGAATAATAATATTCTGTAATTCCTAAATGCCAAAAGAAAGTATATCAATGTAGCTGAGACATCACCCCTGGGGTGGATCAACAGGTGTCATGTGACCTCACAGTGGGTGAACGTTGCTCTGATCACGGGTCTATTGTCCTTTGACACAGTCATGGCTCAGCATGTATCCATTGAAACTGGATGTATACTCAGCTTCAGAGACGTTGCTTTCTGTATGAAAAAGACTCAGAAGGCTTTGACTTGTTCATTGCAAGTATTTCCAGCACACATCAACCCGGCTCTAGCCTGCCTTCATCAGCTTCCAGTCATACACATATTCATTTATAGATAGTCATAATAATGAGACACTAGGGCTGCTCGATTATGGCAAAAATCATAATCTCGATTATTTGGGTCAATATTTGATATCACGATTATTAAAAACTATTATCCATTTACTTTGAAAACATCAATTTATTGGAGAATTTGTTTTGAACAGTATGTTTTGAACAGTTGATTACCCTGAACTTTAAGTATACACTACAATTCAACTGAAAAACTAATTTAAAAAAAGTCATAATAAAAAAATAATCGTTTTATTTCGATTACGTTGTTTTCGTAATCGTTGCAAGCCATAATCGTAATCACGATAAAAATGCGATTAATTGAGCAGCCCTATAGGACACATGGCCTTGCAAATATAGCAGAGTAGTTGAGGCCTTTGTAGCTGTAGGCGTCTCAAATCACCTGATCCAGGACTTTGATCTGTTCCCTATTTCACATCCAGAGGCTACCCATCGTTCTTGGTCTTCCTCAGATCAACTGAATCAAGGCATAGCTTCAAACGGCAGCTAATAAACCAATGTCTATAAGTGAGCCTTACAAACATGATCGAGTTGATGTGGCAGCACTGAAACAAGCTGTAGTCAAAACGTATGACCTCCTTATAAAGTTGTTAAAGGTGTTTCTGGGCACCAAGTCAAGAGGAAACACCTGGTTCTTTAGCAGCTACATGCTCCAGTATGTTCACAAACTAGTTTTTTTTGTTGGGGAAGTGAAACAAAGCGGCACAGTTTCAGGCTTCAAAACCAAAACAAAGTGCTTAAAGACACTAAAGCACCTCAAACACCAGAGGAGAAATGCAGATTTGGGTGATGCGTTATTACAATAGGCGCGTTCACACCAAGTACTTTTCCCACAAAGGTTCCTGAGAACTACGATTTAGTTGCGTTCACACCAAAAAGTCCCAGGAACTAAATTAGTTCTAGAGAACCTTTTTTACCCCCTTTTCAGTCCCTGCTAGAGATCAGGGACTTTCGTGGGAGAAAAAGGTTCCTGTGTCTGATTGGCTGGAAGGATTGCAAACCACGCCCCGTAAAACTCTGAAAAACGTTTGTGAAGCCGCCATTTTATTATCCTCGCATTGCATTATTAGCATTAGCATTAGCCCAGCGTAGAAACGCAGAGAGACTAATTTATGGCAACACAAAAGAAAACATGGGAGCGGTGGAGATGAGGAGGTGTCGGCGTTCTGGCCGTTTACTCGGAAGGCTTCAGTAGAAGCTGCTGGGACTCCCAGCAGCTTCTACTGAAGCCAGTCCCTAACTCCGGGGACTTCCGGCCGGGGACTCCGGGTGCAGTATACGCCGTGAAGTGGTTTGCGGCCTGCCAGTAAACCCAAAGCAGAAGAAGAAGAAGTGACGTCAGCGGCTTCATTTGCCTAATCCTCCCCCAGGGACTTATTCCGGTGTGAACGCGATCTTTACTTAGTTCATGAGAACTAAAGAGTTCTCAGGAACCTTTGTGGGAAAAGTACTTGGTGTGAACGCGCCTAATATGTTTGACCTTGCTTGGCCTTTCCTTTCAATGCCACCATCGGTCACCATCTCAAATATAAAAACCTAATTTTGCAATAAAAATCAAGACGTGTCATGATCCCCAGAGGATATGTGAGCCGTTTACATTATTAAGTAGAAGGAGAGCGCAGATCTATGCCATCCTGCTAAAAACAGACACACAAACCGAACCCAAGACACCGAAAGCGTTTTTTGAACTCGTCATACACTTTCACATTGTGATGAGTCTTCAGCCAATGAGGAAGTGCCTCATGGAGTTCCTCTTCCCAGTAACGGCTCCAATAACAACTGACGAACTATGAAACTTCCCAACTAACAGATGCAATATATTCTCTTGTAGGAGCCACAGCTCTTTTGGAATGTCGTCTTCCAGTCTGAGAGTCACATGCTAACAAAGGTATCCCAGCTGCAGCTAGAAGAGCATCAGGACTGTTTGAGGCAGATGATAGCTATGTGATTAACATGATGATTCAGCCTCTATGGAGAGAGACATCAAGCATGCTCATTTCTGACGTGGAGCTAATCTGAAGTAAACATTGAATACTGCTTTCTATTCCTCCATCTTGTGACTGTGTAACTCCCTCTCTTGGATATCAGCATGTGAAGGACACTGCTCAGGAACTAGTTGATGCTCTGTATGTGATGACTCCTTCCATTCTGGAGAGGATCACAGATACATGGATCCTGAGATTGAAGATCAAGCCGTGATTACTAATATAACCTTTTAAGTATTCAGAAAAAGTCAGGATTTTGAGATTTTTGAGAAAAATACAGATTTTTGAGGAAAAAGTCAGAATTTTGAGGAAAAAGTGCATTTTTAGATTTTGAGAAAAATACCAACAAATTCTTTTTTTTGTTTTGACTACTTCCATTCTTGAGAGGATCATAAACACATGGATCCTGAGATTGAAGCTCAAGCTGGTGACGAGAGATATTTTTTTAACACAAACCAAGTAAAAGGAAGTCCATCCGACTCACCTTGATTGGCCCAACGCTGAACCCGATCTTCCGATTGGCCGGCGGAGGCTCCTCCTCCTCAGGAAGTCCCTGGATCTCTGAGCAGCTGCTCTCCTTCTGATAATCCTCCTCTTCCTCCTCTTCCTCCTCATCTTCCTCATCCTCCTCATCGTCCAGCTGACTTCCCCCAGAGTCCTCCTCTCCGATCCCACTGTACGCACTGATATCCACCAAATCGCCCTCGGAGTAATCCTCCTTCCTCGAACCATCCTCATCCTCTTCCTCTTCCTCTCCTCTTCTGTCAGAGTCCTTTCCTCGTTCCTCCGGGGAAGAGGAAGAGGAACCAGGAGGATCTTTTTCTCCATTTTCCAAAGAGGCATGAACGTCGGCCTGAACCAGCCTGGATCCGTCCTGCTCGTCAGTTTTTGGATCCTGACCCGGAGGAGTCATTGTACTCGAACCCCGAGCTTCAGTCGCTATCGGCTGGACTTCCAACTCCCCTTTGACCTCTGAAGAAGACGAGGAGGAGGAGGGGGAGGAAGAGGAGGATGAAGAGCAAGTAGACTTTTTTTCTCCTGACTGTCCAAACCCTTCCTTGTCTTCGCCGGATATCAATTCAGTTGAGCTGTTTTGTAGACAGTCTGCCGCCAATTCTGGTAGTTTTGCTGCCTTGGTGCTCATTTCTCCTTCTGTCGCCTCCTTCTGGTTCTCCTTACTGGGAGGTGGCACCTTCGTCTGAAAGAGAATCAGAATCAGAGTGTCATCAGCATAATAACGTTTCAAAATGAATGCACATAGAAAAACAAAAAGTGCAGGACCCAAATATGAGCCCTGGGGAACACCGCATTTAATTGTTTAGCTCCTAGATTATTTTTCCTTCACATAAAACACAAGCTCTAACAGATTAACCCAATTTAAAAGCATGTTTTTTGTTCAGCACACTCTTCTCACCTTCCTCCCGGTCGCCTCCCCTCTCGCTGGAGGTGGTTTGGGTTTTGGCGGTAAAACAGGACCCGGCCGACGTTGGGCGACATTGTTCTGCGGGGGGTCGGTCTTCTCGGTCTTCTCGGTCTTCTCTGTCTTCTCTGTCTTCTCGAACTTGGCGCTGAGCTGACTAACGGTCGGACTGACGGCATCCCCGACTGAAGCTGAAGCAACGGGAAGAACGTCAGGAGCAGGGATAGAATCAGGAATAGGAGCTGGAATAGGAGGTGGAGCAGGAAGTGGAGCTGGGGGGTCGTCCAGCCGGTCCAAAGCCTCCGTGGATCCGTTAAATCGAGCCACGACATCCAGACGGCTGTCCTGAAAGCCCGATGCTCGCTCCTTCTTCAGCAAGATCCGGTTTGTGGCAGCTTGCTTCTCCTGGGAGGAAACAAAACCAGAAGCATTAACCTCCCAAAGTCACATTTCAGACATGATCCGACTGTAGCGGCTCAATTTCCAGTTCAGTTTGAGTCGCCGAGAGGCTGAGCTTGGCTATGAGCTGCGACGCGTTTTCAATGAGAAAGTCCATGAAGTAAGATAGTCTGACGATATTTAATAAACAAAATCTAAACATAATAACTATAGGGACAGAGACGACAACACAAGCTCACCCTCTGTCATCCGCACTCAACATGAAACAGGTGACCTATATACACAAACCACACCCATGTGACAATTACCGGAAGTGCTCAACAAATACAAATAAAAGTGATGTAAACAAATAATAGTAATACAAATAATGAACTCAGGCTAAGTAGCATTTGGCACCTACGCTGACCATTGAAGTATTATCGTATCATATCGTTTCGTATCGTATCAAACCAAGATTGGAAGGTTTTAAGATTCAATGGTTTTATTGTCATATGCACTTAGTGTAGAAATGGCTCCAATAGGATCTCTCCATGTGATTATTGATTATCCAAATCCAGACTCTGAAGTTCGCCTAACCTTAACCTCAGACCGATCAAAGCAGGATCGTAACGGGAAAATCTGGCTGTCCACACAGTGTTTTCACAATAACTTTTACCGGCACACATACATGTAAATATACTTAATATATATATATATAACTGTATATAATTGTATCTTTAATTGTATTAATCTCTAATCTGTGTGAATCTGTGCTGTCCTGTTTTTCAATCTCACCCTGTTGCTTTTTAAACTACTGAATTTCCCCACAGGGATTAATAAAGCTCCATCTTATCTTATCTTATGCACAGATTTCGACTCATGCTTGATAAATGTATCTGTCTGCGTGAATTAGGGCTGCACGATATATCGTGTCGTGACGATAATCACGATATGCGCATGCGCGATATTCACATCGCTATTCACATCGAGTGGACGATTCTTAAAAAAATTTAAAAATTAATAATAATTTTTACAATTTATTTTTAGGACGTGTGATATTAAGTAGGCAAATTAACTCAAACACGTCATGTTACATTTATTTTGCTGCTTGCTACAAAAGGAAAACGTGCGCGGCTCTCATGTCAGGGGAACTCGAGTGAGTGACAGCAAACCAATCACCATCAGATCTCCAAAGCAAACGGACGGTGATTAAAGGTAGAAACACTGAATAAAGTCGTTTCATGAGTTTCTCCAGTTCGGCGCTGCTAACCGAGCTAGCTCAGCTCGTTGCTCTGATAACTTCAGATCCAGACGTCCGTGACTAAAATCCTTCATCCGGTTAAATATAGTTACAAAAATACCAATTGTATCATTGAAGTTCAAGAAAGGATGGTTTGCGGGAAAAAAACGGTCTTTTCTTCAATTCCTGTATGTTTTCATATCGCAATATATATGGCAGAGAAAAAAATCGCAATATCAATTTTTTCCAATATCGTGCAGCCCTAACGTGAATTGTCCGCAACAAATCCGGCAGTCGACACCACTTGTTAGGAACCGCCTTTTTAAAATCCACCAGTGGGGGGTATTTAATCTCTTCAGCTTGTGTTAACCACAGACCTTATTTCAGGCTAACAACCAATAACACATCCAGAAAACCATTGACTTGCAGACCAGGGAACAGGAAGTGATACAATGACCAGTTTCACAGTTTTAGCACTCATTCCTGCACCACTCTCTAGTACAGTCAGTCAGATGGTCTTGAATTGAACACAAATACTCTTCTCACCTGTAGAGTCCGCTGCTCGAAGATCCTCCTGGTCTCCTGGAGTTTGGAGAACCCCCCCGCCTCTGCGCCGGGTTTAGAGTCGAAGCGGTTGACCCTCTCTGAAACCACAGCTCCCAGTTTGAGCAGAGCGCTGTGGTCCACGTTCTCGTTCAGGCTGGAGGCCCTCGGTAAGGACAGCTTCACCGTCTGATCTGAAGACAGGAGACAGGAGGGTTAACAGGGACCAAGGACAAGACAGAGAAGAAATAAATCCCAGTGTAACTCGGTTATATTGACGATTGGTTTTGACCATCTTTGGTAATGGTGTAGATAATATTATACTCAAGAAAACAGCTGAGATTTGGGAACATTAGGAGCTTTTCATGTCTTTAAAAGTGACAACAAACCCCACTTAATGGAGAAGTGAGGGGTAAAATAGAACTTTGATCCACGATACTACGCATGGTTTCTCCAAATTAGGTTGTTTAAACAATCCGACTGACTTCAAAAAGCAAAAGACTATTTCCATTTCCTTCTTAGTGAATTAAATGTTCTTAATATGTCTTTGTCTGTCCTTGTAACCACAACTACATCACATGTCAGCAATGTGTGGACTGGTCCTCTCCCTTTAGTTAATTAATGTGAAGTTATAAAGTTATTCTACCTCAGTGCTCTTAAAGTTGATTTCATAAAGCTCAGGTACAGTGGGTATTATCTGTTGTCCATTCTCTGTACAATATAACTACAGTGCACAGAATGAGCTGCTATAATAATAAAGATTGGCTGAAATGACATCACTAACGGTGCGTCCACACGGCTCCGTCGCGTTGAAGCTTGCCGGCGGGCGTGTGTGGCGCGCAACCAACAACCAATCACATTAATCTCCCGCCCCGGACACATAAGCACGCGGTTTGATTGGCTAGAGCTTGTACTGGCATATGATTTGATTGGCTGGCGCTTCCGTCGACGCTTGAAAAGTTTAACTTTAAAAACTCAACTTTCGAAGCGAGCAACGCGACGGAACCACAATGCAGTTCGGCAAAGCGTGACGTCACCCCTTTCAAAGTGAATGGGAAGCGTCTCCGTGGAAGCACGCGACGGAACCGTGTGGACGATACGTAACTCTTGACGTAACTTAACAATCATTATTGTGAAGTTAATTCATAAAGTTATTCTACCTCAGTGTTCTTTAGTTGATTTGATAAAGCAGTGGAATGATCTGTTGCTGTTCTCTGTACAATATAACTACACTACACAGAAAGGGTTGCTATGATAATAATAATAAAGATTATTACTTCAAAAACATTCGTGAAAATCCTCCACAGAAGTCTAACTCTTGACGTGTGTTATGGCAATTATGGTATTAGAGCTTAATACAGTGTAATCCTAATGAAGTGGTATCCTGGGAATGGCTTATAACTGGATGCGTGATAACAGATGTGTTTTATGAAACTACAGGAAGGAAAGGAGGAAAGGAAGCAAATGTGCTCTAGGGGAGAAGCTGCGACACCCACTTGTTCTCTGTAGGGTGTGAGTTTTGCTTATTGTGATCCACCTGGACCCAAATGTTGTTGTCATGTAAATGAGCTTTGATGTTTCCCTATGAGAGTCTGTCACACTCAGAAGGAGTCGTCATGCTTGCTTTGCATTCAAAGAAAATATCTTAAAAGACTTTATATCAATATTGTGTTTCTTTGCATATTAGCCGAAGTCATCATTTTCTCTTGAGAGCAGCTGATTTGCTACGACACGTGACTCACCCATCATTATTGTGAAGTTAAATTATACAGTGAAGCTACCTCAGTGATCAGCGGGTTTTGTCTGTCGTCCACAAAGTTACTGTTATACACAGAATGAGCTGCTATAATAATGAAGATCGGCTGAAATGACTTTAGTGAAAATCCTCCACAAGCTGAACCCTAACCCCTTCAGAAAATCCTCCACTAAAGTCTAACTCTTGACGTGACTCACCAATCATTTTGTCGCCCTCCTCCTCGTCTCCAGGCGACTGCATCTGCATGAACATGTTCTTGATGCGGTGGACGTTGGACCCGTAGCTCCTGCCCCTGCCGGTGGGCCGGGGCAGCGGAGTCGGTTTGGAGCCCGTCGCTCCGTTAGCGGCATTGTTCAGGTGATCCGTGGCCTTCTTCAGCGCCGCCAGCCCCGCCTCGTAGGCGTTCCTGTGCGGCGAGGGGCTCCTCATGCTGGAGGTCCCGCCGCTGGAGGGCCCGTTCCCCCCCGACGGTTCAGTCTTCATCATGTTTGGTCGATCAGATTCCCCCCGGTGAACAGCAGCTGAGCAGCGAGGAGGACGGCAGCATCCTGCAGCTGGTTCACTTTCTCCTGCTGACAATCAGATATTTGTTTATTTGTTTATGGCAGTTATTGTAAAACAGAACATGTACACTTATACTGGTGTTTGTTTTCATAGCGCATGGTGGAAAGGAGCGGGGAGAAGAACATCTTATTTGACCAGCCCCAAATAAAAGCAATATTCTTTCAGTCACAGTTGCTTACAAGTACCGAACATAAAACCAGAACACAATCAAAAGTCAACTTCAAACTGTCTAATTACACTTTCTTTATATATTTTCTTAAACATAACAATTTTCTTACAGCCCTTTAAATCATTCGGTAAATAATTCCACTTCTCCAAGAGACACACATCTGCTTTAAAGTAGTACGTGTTTTGCTTAACATTTCATTTCCTCCTAAGATGTGATTAATAATGATATCTAATCAACATTTTAAACGGCATTGTTGAATACTCGATGCTGATTGGTCAATTTGGATATTCACCCCTCCTCGCCTATCAGAAAAATTAGAGTAGTAGTCCCGTGAAACTTTAACGACACCATCCCTAATCCTTATATCACATTACATTATAGTACATGTCACTTGTTAGACGCTTTTACCCACAGCCACGCACACACATTCAGTTCTGTGGAGAATCCCCACAGAATCAGAATCAAGTTCATTTCCAGGTACGTTTACACATATAGGAATCTAACAGGAAATAAGTTGCAAAGTAGGTAAAAAGAAAAAGCGTGGACAGTGTTAAGACAAAACGAACAAGATGTCATCATGTTTTTGGGGTGGATAAAAAGTCAGTGTCAGTGTGTGCAAAGCAAAATAAGGAGCAATGCAGTGGGGATTGAACCAGTGCTGCCTTATCCAAAGACCAGCGCACTACTCCACTGAGCCACCGCCTCCTTTACTGTCTATAAGCAGAAAGTAGATGGACATCATATAACAGATATAACAGATATAACACAGTGTCTCGTTGCCCTCCTGTCTCTCTGTGGGAGCTGTGAGGATAATCCCATTAAGACGCTGACGCATGGGAGCTCTGTGTGTGTGTGTGTGTGTGTGTGTGTGTGTGTGTGTGTGTGTGTGTGTGTGTGTGTGTGTGTGTGTGTGTGTGTGTGTGTGTGTGTGTGTGTGTGTGTGTGTGTATTGCTGCTCTGAATGACAAACACTCTCAGCGACAGAGTGAATACTGAGCCGCAGATATCAGCCGCTCTCCTCTGATCACATTATTATTATCTGGCTGTGAACATGACCTCTGTCCGGTCTGAGCTGAGCGACGGTTTCATCGAGGGTTCAAACTAAAGGGTTTCTGTTAGAAGGTCTTCAACGGACTGTGACCAGAACATCTGATATACTCAATTAACAAAAATGTGTTGAAGATGTTTGAGTCACATGTTGATCCTGACAGAATTCAAAAATAGAAATGGAAATGAACTTATCGGGGTAAGAGTTAAGAATGTAAGGACGCAACTCAAGCCAAACATGACTAACAATTTCTCATAAGAAAACATAAATCTAACTCCGAACAACAAAGAAAGTGCAGATATTTTCACTTCACTTCATCACACCATAATAAGTGCTGGTGAATCAGATACAATGCCTACATTCACTATTTAATGCTTTTTCTGCAAGAGATCCCATAGAACCAGTCAGATGCTGCCTTCAGGGACCAACACAGAAATACCACATCCCAGCTCCACTGCTCTCATCGATGACACAACAGCCAACGAGACACAATCACTGTGAGGACGTTAGCATTAGCACGTTAGCCTACACAACCAAACAAACAAGCTCGACCAGCAGAAAATATATCAACAAGAAACTCACTCAGAAAGTGGAACACAAGGATCCAGCTGTTTGCAACCATGGAGGATTCAATAAAAGATACATGTGTTTTCTCATGGTTACCTAATCAAATGTGACACATCTGGGCGACTGTGGCTGCGAGGGAGTGCGGTCGTCTTTCAACCAGAAGGTTGTGGGTTCGATCCGAGCCCATGCAGTCAACATGTCGATGTATCCTTGGGCAAGATACTTAACCCTGAGTTGCTCCCGATGGCCACCGGTGTATGAATGTTAGTTCCTAGAGTAACATACACTGCTCTGTGTGAATGTTAGTTCCTAGAGTAACATACTCTGCTCTGTGTGAATGTTAGTTCCTAGAGTAACATACTCTGCTCTGTGTGAATGTTAGTTCCTAGAGTAACATACACTGCTCTGTGTGAATGTTAGTTCCTAGAGTAACATACTCTGCTCTGTGTGAATGTTAGTTCCTAGAGTAACATACACTGCTCTGTATGAATGTTAGTTCCTAGAGTAACATACACTGCTCTGTATGAATGTTAGTTCCTAGAGTAACATACTCTGCTCTGTATGAATGTTAGTTCCTAGAGTAACATACTCTGCTCTGTGTGAATGTTAGTTCCTAGAGTAACATACTCTGCTCTGTGTGAATGTTAGTTCCTAGAGTAAACATACTCTGCTCTGTGTGAATGTTAGTTCCTAGAGTAACATACTCTGCTCTGTGTGAATGTTAGTTCCTAGAGTAACATACTCTGCTCTGTGTGAATGTTAGTTCCTAGAGTCACATACTCTGCTCTGTGTGAATGTTAGTTCCTAGAGTAACATACACTGCTCTGTATGAATGTTAGTTCCTAGAGTAACATACACTGCTCTGTATGAATGTTAGTTCCTAGAGTAACATACTCTGCTCTGTGTGAATGTTAGTTCCTAGAGTAACATACTCTGCTCTGTGTGAATGTTAGTTCCTAGAGTAACATACTCTGCTCTGTGTGAATGGGTGAACGACATGTATGTAAAGTACTTTGAGGGGTCGTAAAGACTGGATAAAGCGCTACATAAGTACAGTCCATTTATCATTTACATCTTATCACACTGTGGGATTCGTGAGAAAACTCACAGCTATCACAAAGAGACAGAGAGCACTGCCTTTAGTACACAAAACAATCTGAAGTACTATAATATATATATATATATATATATATATATATATATCTGAGAGCCTTGTTATTTAATATTTCCACATTATGCTACTGTGTACTTTTCCCCCACTACATGTATTTAATACCTTTAGTTACTTCACAGATGAATGAGGTGAAATCTAATCAAGTGTTGAATCAGACTTTAGTTCCACCTGGAGTAAATCCACCAGCTACCCTGCAGTATACAAAGTACTTCAAACTAGCTGCACCTTTACCAGCTTTGAGAACACTTTCATGATCAATCATTATAAAACATATCATATATATTATTCTGAAATGGACCAATCTGCACAACGACTACTTTTACTTTCGCTACTTTCACTATATTTTGATGAGAATACTTTTATACTTTCACTTGAGGAACATTTTGAATGCAGGACTTTTACTGCAACAGAGTATTCCTACACTCTGGTACTTCTACTTTTACTCAAGTACAAGATCTGAGTACTTCTACTTTTACTCAAGTACAAGATCTGAGCACTTCTACTTTTACTCAAGTACAAGATCTGAGTACTTCTACTTTTACTCAAGTACAAGATCTGAGTGCTTCTACTTTTACTCTAGTACAAGATCTGAGTACTTCTACTTTTACTCAAGGACAAGATCTGAGTACTTCTACTTTTACTCAAGTACAAGATCTGAGTGCTTCTACTTTTACTCAAGTACAAGATCTGAGTACTTCTACTTTTACTCAAGTACAAGATCTGAGTACTTCTACTTTTACTCAAGTACAAGATCTGAGTACTTCTACTTTTACTCAAGTACAAGATCTGAGTACTTCTACTTTTACTCAAGTACAAGATCTGAGTACTTCTACTTTTACTCAAGTACAAGATCTGAGTACTTCTACTTTTACTCAAGTACAAGATCTGAGTACTTCTACTTGCACTGAAGTACAAGATCTGAGTACTTCTACTTTTACTCAAGTACAAGATCTGAGTACTTCTACTTGCACTGAAGTACACCTCTGCTTATATATGGTGATATGTACATGTTATACTGATAATAGATATATCTATCATACAATGTGGACATTTATATTTTTAATTGCATATTTTTACTTAATTTTTTTATGCTTTTTTAATATTATGATTTATTTAATACTTTTTGTTGCAATTTTTTTGGTTACTTTACTCTTTATTTTATATTGTATTTGGACTTTGATTGCACATGTTTGACATTGTGTTTAAATAGGTGTATGTGTACAGGTCTTCTCCCTCTGATCCATTCAGTGTTTCAGGGTGTAACCTCCACAGCAACACAAACAGGATCCAACATGTTTTATTTCCTCCGTTCAGACTTCAGACGCATGTTGCAGCCAATTGTTGTAAAGTGTGTTGTTGCTGAGGTGTAGAAGTACTCAGATATTATACTAAAGGTATTAAATACATGTAGTGGAGGAAAAGTACACCATTCACCTCTGAACTGTAGTGGAGTAGAAGTACAGTAACATACTACAAGTGAAATAAAATGTGAACTAAAGTACATTTACTTGTTAGATGCTTTGGCCAAAAGTAGATGTACAAAATAGCATCAAATAGAAATACTCAAGTAATGTACAAGTACCTCAAACG